TGCGTCTGGATCCCAAGGACCGTGGTCGGCCCCGAGGCGGGTGCACGCCTCCGGGATGCGATACTCGGGTGCACAAAGGGCCTCGTTTTAGCTGAGGATATCAATCACAGCGACCAATATTAGCTGGAAAAATGTCAAGCACGTCTGTTGAAAGCATGCGACAATGTGGATTGCTCCAAAGTCAATTTTCTGGTTTTGGTATTGTGTAAAGATGACGCTATTGGGAGAAGGTGGGGGAAGGCTACTCCTGACCTCTCGGTACCATTTTGGAAACTATCTATGATTATTTCAAATGAAAGACTTTTTTAAAAAAGCGGGTATTCGTCACTCATTATTTTCGCAACGACAGACTGAGCGTCCACTATGCACCGGGCATTGTTATTTGGTGCATTTATACCTATGCTGTAGGTGGACACATAAGTAGACGAAACACCTTACTCGTTTCACCGCTTTACGTGTTACCCCTAGTTACGCGGATTTCTCTGTGTCTCAGTTTCCTCATCTGTACAATGGGGATACAATAATCAGCCAGTACTACCTCACTGTTAGGGGGAGAGTAAAATTAACTATACATACGTAAAGGGATTAGCGCCATGCCTGCCACAGTCCTCAATACACGTCATCCATTTTAGTTAGCTGTCATTGCTATTAATACAACATTTATTTCAGAGGCTGGTTTACCATGTCTCAGACACGGGGCTAAACGCTTTTCCTGCACAATCTCACTTTCTATTTCATCTCCTCTCCAGGAGGTGGCGCAGGAAAACTATTTTGCATTTCTGTCCTAATCTGACCTTAAAAAACAGTTGTATTTCAGATCTTTGGCTCAAGGGAGTGAAATTCGGCAAACAATTCACTTATCTTTATTCTTTATGAAGAGCCCGGCTCAACGCCTGGTAGACGCTCAGTATTTCTTACATCGATGAATGATATTCTCATCAGCGCAAGCGAACCCCCTTTAGCGAATCTTCCCCTAAATTCACTGTCAAAAGGAAAGGAGCCGCAATGCTTTTCCTGAGCTAGGAGAAGTGGACACGAGCGTCTGCGAAAAGCGATGCAAACTCGGGTGTGAACCTTAAAATAATCCTGTGCACTCCTGCCACTCCCTCATCCTCCACAAAAGCTTTGCGCATCTTGTAAAATGCTGTCCCAGCCCTGATTTCGTTTAATCAAAGATTGCTATCAGCATCCCGCATTTAACCCAGGGGGAAAAACGAGGCAGGCAGGAGTTTCTCAATAAATATTTGAGGCTCAGAGCGGCAGAGGAAATGGCAGGCAGACGTCAGTTCCACCGGCTCAATCTGGGGTCTTAAAACACCTACGCCTGTGTTCCTGACACGATTATGTTAATTCTACAAGGCAAGCACATGCTCCATCTGAGAGGAGTTTTCAGAAGATAAGTATCATTTTTCATTCTTAATAAATTTCTTATTAACACTAAAAAAATTATTTGAAAAAATAAAAGTAAACAAAAGAGAAGAAAAAAGAAAAAAATCTTTGAATGTACTGAGCACCTACTATGTGCTGGGCTTCATGTTAGGCACTTCGCAGCACTGCCTTGCAAATTGGGGCATTTCGGTGAAGAAAAGAAAAGTTTTCCGTTAAGAAGAGGTTGAATTTTCTCTCAAGTGAATAGATTGTTTATTGAGAAAATTTAATTTAGTGTTAAGTTGAAGAAGCGGGGGAAAGTTTAAGGGGAATAGGGAGATTTGAGTCTCCCCGCCCCATTAACCCTTCATGGAGAGGTGTAAAGCCCCACAGCTGCAGAGATGGTAGCCAGATGTTCGCTGGGGACTTCTCCCTCGCCATCCCCAGGCCCACATTTAGCAAAAGCCTGAAGGACTTCAAGAGAGAGTAAAAGCGGCCACAGCCAGGTTCAGGGTCGGCAGTAATAAATACAGGCGGGGCGGTGGGTGGGGGGTAAGGAAAGGGCGGGGAAGAACCAAGGAAAAAAGTGACCTCTGCAGGGAGGCTCCGCTGCGCATGCGCCCGCTGCGGCGCAAGGAAGGCGCAGACGCGGCCGTTGCGACCCCTGCTGACCACCGGCCGCCACTGCAGCCAGTTGCATCTGTCTTTTGACGCTTATTGAGCGCTTATTAGATGCTGCCACCACTCTTTAAATCAATTAATTCACTTAATTCTCCCCACACTGTGGGCTTTGGATGGGCTTGTTTATGCAGGAGCAAACTGAAGCTCAGGAAAGTTAAGTGATTTGACCAGGGTTACCCAAATAAGAGCTGGCAACCAGTGACTCAAAAAGATATGGTTTAGAGGCATATCCATACAACGGAATATTATTCAGCCTTAAAAAGGAAGGGAATTCTGACCCCCTACAGCATGGATGAACCCTGGCATTATGATCGGTGAAATAAGCCAGTCACAGAAGGACAAATACTATATGATTCTTCTTATAAGAGGTTCCTGGAAGAGTCAAATTCAGTGACAGAAAGTAAACAGCAGTGCTGGGGGCTGGGGGAGGGAGAATGGGAAGTTATATATATTTTACCACAATTAAAGAAAAAGTCATGGTTTAATTAGGGAGCAACTCTGCCTCACTACTATTTCCTAGATGAAGTTCTGATTTGGTTGACCCAAACCAGACATCCTGAGTTTAAATTCCAGTTCTGCCCTCACTGGCTTTATGACCTTGGACAAGTTACATAACCTTTCTGAGCCTCATATTCTACATGTAAAATGTTAAAGAGAAAGCCACAGGCCCAAAATGGCATCACTCATGCTAAAAGCCCATGATACAGTAGGGAGTGAGGGAGGAGGGGGGAGGCAGATGGGGTAAAGGGGGTCAAATATAGGGGGTAGGAGAAGGGTGAAGTGGGTAAAGGAGATCAAATATATGGTAGCTGAAGGAAACTGGACTTTGGGTGGTAAACACATAATAGAATATACAGATGTTAAATTATAATGTACACCTGAAAATAATATACTTGTATTAACCAATGTTACCCCGATAAACAATTTAAAAAAAAAGAAAAAAAGAAAACTCAAAAAAATTTTTTTTAAATAAAAGCCCATGATACAAAACCTAGATTTAATACTCGATCTGAGTTTCAACCTCTCCCAGAAATGTAATCTTTATCGGTCTGGAATTTTCTGGTAATTTTCAAGTACCAGTAAGGTAATCTGTTACATGGGCCCTCTCCATCTTCCATAAAAAGAAAAGGCAATCTTCATGGTAAAAACGCTTCTTCTCTTCCCCAAAGGTGACCCAGTCTAAAAATTATCCTTTCTTTTTTTTCATGTTGATAGTCCTAGCTCCATCCTTCTTCCTATAAAAAACTTCCACTTTGTACATCCCTCTCAAATCACTCCTCTACTTGCTAGATGGGATGCTGCCCCGTTCACAAGTTGCTTAATAAAGCCAATTAGATCTTCAGGTTCACTGAGTTAAATTTTTTAAACAAAAATATTGAATCCCACTTTCCCCCGTGCATAGGGGAGCGTATGAGTGGAGACCCCAATGAGAAACCCCCCTGATTCATCCTGCTGGAAGCCTCGCCCGACATTGCTGGATCACTAGATTGCACCTGGGAGCGATTCTGCCCCCAGGCAACACTGAGCCATGACTGAGGCACATCTGTGGTTGTCACAACTGGGGGTGCTCCTGGCATGGAGTGGGTGGAGACCAGGAATGCTGCTCAGCACCCCATGGTGCCCAGAATGCACCCCCCTGGAGAATGAGCCTGCCCTGAATGTCCGGGGTGCCTGTATGTGATTTTTTTAAAAAGAATATGCTCTAAATTTATAGTGTGGGTGGTATTCATTCACTCAACACATATTTAGTGAGGACCTCCTGACTCCCAGATGTTGGCTGAGGTTCTGGGGACACAGGACAAGCATTTCTATCCTAGTAAAGCAGATAGTCGGTAAATGAGTAAAATATAAGGTATGCCATATGGTGAGAAGAGCCGTGAAGGGATGTGAACTAGGATTATGGGGTGAGAGTACTGAGATCACATGGTAGTGAATGTTATATATGCATAAGGAGATATCAGAGCAAAGACTGGTTCCGGAGGGAGCAGTTTGAGTGTCTGGGGGAAGGGCATTCCAGATGGGCGGGACAACGTAGGGTAGGACCATGCCTGGAGTATTAGAGGCACAGGAAGGAGGCCCCTGTGGCAATAGAGTGCGGGGAGGGCACGGGATGGGTCTCGCAGGACCCTCTGGGCTTGGGGAGAACTTACACTTTTACCCAGAGGGCTGTGGGCAGATGAGGGGCGGGACTTGACTCATGTGCTCACAGGCGCCCTCTGGTGGTTGCTTCTAGGAGGACAGTCTTTGGGGGCTAGGGCAGAGGGGACTGGGGACATGATGGGGCTAGCTGGACCCAGGTGGTACTCATGAAGGGGGTGAGAAGTGGACAGATTTAGGATAGATTTGGACGATGGGGTAGACAGTTCGGTCTGGCGTGTTGAATGTGAAAAATGAGAGGAAGAGTCCAGGTTGACTTCAAGCTTTTGGCCCAATGAGGTGGAAGTATGGAATTTCCATCCGCTGAGGAGGCAAAAGGAGCGGGTTAGGTGGGGAAGGTGGAAATCTCAGCGTGAACATGGTGTGTGTGAGACACCGTGAGCTCCCATGTGCAGACTTGAGCTGGACACCGAGTCTGGAGCTCGGGGGAGGCTAAGGGCGAGAGGTATAGATTTCTCGGTCACATTAGCGTTTCAGGAGATAGAATACATGTTGCAGGATTCCATTTATATGAAACGTGCAGAACAGGAAAATCCAGAGACAGTGGATTTGTGGCTGCCAGGGGCTGGGGGAGGGGGGACAGGGAGTGACTGCTGAGGGGGACATAATTTCTTTTGGAGGTGATAGAAATGTTTTAAAATTAGACTGTGGTGATATAGAAACTTTACATGATTGTACACTTAAAACAAACCTCTTGACTATTTTTCTCCATCCCCTCTGTCCTCCATCCTTCAGCCAGATCCAGGACCCTCCCATCATCACTTGCCTGAGTCACACAAATCCTATCTAACCCCATGTGCTGGTTAATTTTATGTGTCCACCTGGCTGGGCATGGTACCAGATAGTTAGTCAAACATTATACTGGATGTTTCCGTGAAGGTGTTTTAGCATGAGATTGATATCTAAAGTGGTAGACTGTTAAAACACATTGCCCTCCCTCAGGTGGGGGTGGGCCTCATCCAGTCAGTTGAAGACCTCAATAGAACAAAAAAAGACTGACCTCTCCAGGCGAGGAGGAATTCTGCCAGCAGATGGCCTTCGGACGTAACTTCAGGTCTTCCCTGGGTCTGCATATTCAGGTGCGTATCTTTTTATGCACTTGTTCTCCTAGATGTTTGGCAACTCACTTAACGACTCAAAACCTCAGTTTTCTCGTCTGTAAATTGGAACCGATAATAGTACCTATTTCATGGGTTTGTCTGACACAAGGGTGAAATAACACATGTTAAGTGCTTAAAACGGGGCTTGACGTTTAGTATGAACTTATTATTACTATTACCATCATTATTATTTCCTTGGGAAGTGTTATTGGGGGGTTAAAGGTTAATTGACATCCTTTTACCAAAAGGCAATCAACCCAACCATTTTTCACACTGGCGTCTTTAAATGTTCTCAGCTGCTTCTCATTTGAAAAAGAAAAACTAATCACCTGGAACAGGTGGAAAGTTTGAGCTCCGCTACCCGCGAGCGCAGGGACGGCGGCGGCGGGGGCCCAAGGAGAGATCTTGAGCAGGGGGAAGTTCCGGTTAGTGCGGGTTCCTGGGGGTGTTGACCGCAGGTGTGAGGGATGCTGGAGCTCCCGGGAATTGGGGACGGGGTCCCGCATTTCACCTCCAGGGCCAGCCGGTGGGTGCAGAGCCCGCGCCCCGGCTGCCGCCCCAAGACCCGGATGTACAGCTCGCGAGGCTCCCGGCACACGGAGGTTGGACCGCGCTGCGCTGCCAGGCTCGGAGCATGCACTGGCGGCAGCTGCGCTGGGGTAACCCCCGCCACCGCCTGCCGGGCGTCCTGGCACACACATGGGGGCCGCCTTCCTTAGGAAGCCGCGGAACCTGGCTGCATTGTGGTCGTCACCCATCTCCCTCTTTCCATGCCCAGACATGAACCAGCACCCGCCCCAACTTGTGCAGGGCTCGTACTCCTTTAAGAAGCCAGACACCCCCCCAGGGATGGGCGTGGTCGCTGCGAGCGACGGGGTGGGGGCCGGTGTCGGGCCGTCCTGATTGGCCCGAGGCCCGGGCGGCGGCCGCGCGCGCCTGCGCAGTGAGCAGCAGCGCGAGCCGTCGGCGAGAGGAGGGCGCGCGAGTGCT